TGAGTTGTGACTAGTGACTAGAGACTATAGACTATGTAGTGACTAGTGAGTAGGGAGTAGGAAGTGGTGAGTAGTGACTAGTGAATAGTGAGTGGCGGGGAGTGAGTAATGAGCATGGAGTAGCGAGTATGGGAGTAGCGAGTAGTGAGTACTGAGCACTGTGTAGTCAGTATTGTGTAGTGGGTAGTGGTTAGTGATTTGTGGGCAATGAGTAGTCAGTAGTGAGTAGTGAGTAGTGGATAGTGGGTAGTGGGTAATGAGTAGTGATTAGTGAGTAGTGAATAGGGAGTGGTGAGTAGTGATTAGTGAGTAGTGAGTATTGAGTAGTGGGTAGCGAGAAGTGAGTAGTGACTAGTGAGTAGGGAGGAGGGAGTAGCGAGCAGGGAGTAGTGAGTAGCGACTAGTGGGTGGTGGGTAGTGAGTAGTAGAGCGTGAGTAGTGAGTCGTGAGTAGCGAGTAGGGGATAGTGGGAGGTGAGTAGCGAATAGCGAGTAGTCAGTAGTGGGTAGTGAGTATTGAGTAGTGAGTACTCTTTGGGGCTGGGCTTAGTGGCTGGGGTTAGGATTACGGGTTCTGGTTAGGGTGAGGACTAGGGGTAGGGGTGGCGGGGGTCGGGTTCCGGAGTCAGGGGGCGGCGTGGCGAAAGGGGGGGAGGAGGGGGGGGGGGTCGGACCCCCCCCCTTTTGAGAGGGGGGGGGGGGGGGTCCCCGACGACGGATCGGGGGGGGGAGGGGGGGGGGTCCCCGACGACGGATCGGGGAAGGGGGGAGGGGGGGGGGTCCCCGACGACGGATCGGGGAAGGTAGGACCCCCCCCCCTTGGGGAGATCCAGCGGCGCACCCTCCCTGTCTCCAGCCCCGCTCGTTGAGCAGGGGCCGACGGTTCCTGCGTTCCTAGGCCCACTACGGGATGGTCTTAGAACAACAGCAAATTCAGACTACAGAAACCACGTTATCAGAGCATTCGACGTCTTTAAAAAAGACTGCCTCAGCAAGAAATCCTCTCAGCACTCTCCGTGCAAACCACCAACGCTTCTCAGAACGCCCTTTGGCGGGCCCACCTGGGCAAACCAGGACGCTTCGCCACTGCTTGACACCCAGGCGGCCTGGAGCTCCGGAGCCGGCTCTGCAGAAGGCCCCGGCGGGCCTGGCGGGCCCGGCGGGCCTGGCGGGCCCGGCGCGGGCGCCGGCTCAGACTCGGGCGCGGGCTTCGCCTTCGTCGGCACGGCCAGCGTCTCGTTCGGCTGGGCCTTGGGCGCCGAGCCGTTGCCTGTCGGGGGGGGGGGGGCCGGCTCCTGCAACCGCTGGGTGCGGCGGCTCGCAGGGGCTGCCTGGCTCGTGGGAGGCTGCAGCCCTGGGAGCCTGCAGCCGCTGCCACAACCAAAACTCGGCCCGATCAAGTACTCTAGATTTCGTAATAAAAGGGAGGGGGTCTGGACCCTCCAAGACGAGCCATTTCAGACCTCCCCCGTGGGAGAAACCTCCAAAACATCGTCCCCAGACCCCCCCAGGCCCTCCAAGATAGCCTGGAAGAGACCCCCCCCGAAATGAGACCCCCCTCCCTTTATTACGAAATCTGGAGTACTGGAGTGCAGCCTCTAAGGATGCACGTCCTGGAGCCAACCGAGTCAACCTCGCCGAGGGTACTCGGCAGGAGGGGGAAGGGGGCTACCGCTCTGAGATCGGTCAGCGGCCCCCCCGATTGTCCAAACACCGCTTCTTTATATGGGCGTTCGCCTGCGAGCCGCTGTAGAGTAAACCGCGTGATGATATGGAGCGCCGACCCTCGGAGGCCCAACGGGGGGGGGGGCCCAGGGATATGTCTGGTGCGAGCGATACCTCCGCGTCGGCCAGGGGCAGATCGCATCGTGCTCGCACGCTTCGGAGCAACCATTCCGCCGCGGCGCTTCCCAACGAGATGGGGGCTACCTTGGTCCCCAGTAGATTCCTTGAGTTGCGTGGTGCGACGTTGCTCCTTCAACTGCCACCCCCAAACAACGCCTGCTGAGAACGAAGCGCTTCGCACTACACCCAGCACTTCACCGCCACCGTCGGAGAACCTCCCGAGCTTGAACATGACTGAATCCACTTTACCGCTGACCTTCCCGGGCAAGACACGTGAATGCAACACCAGACTGCTTGCTCGTCCGTGCTGGGAGGTTGACGATGCTTGTTTTGCCCTTCGCTTCTGTCGGGGGCGCGCAAACATGGATTAGCGATCCATGGATCTGGCGCGCGGTCGCAAAATCCATGGATCGGGGGAGGTGCCCTCCCAAACAATGCGGCGGGTGCCGCCTTGCTCGGCCGCGGAACTCGCGATTCCCCATGAAAACGGGACCCGTCGCTAATCCACGCCCCCTTAATCCGTGTCTGCGATCGCCCGATTCTTCGGGAGCGGCCAAGAGGGGGGTGTCCAAGAGGGGGGGGGTGCAAATCATGGCCGGCGGCATGTGCGCGGCCCAGCGGGGGGGCCAGGGACGCAATGAAAGAAGAAGAGGCGCCATGAAATCTGGGGAAATACCATGACCCGCGCCATGATATCCACCCCCCCCTAGTCACCACCCCCCTCTTTTCCGCTCCCGAATTCTGCTCGACCAGCACCGCAGCAGGACGCCCCCCGAACCCGAGATGCTCCCCCGTGCGACGGGCTGCGGCGCTCGCGACCCCCTCCGCCGCCCCGAATTCTGCTCGACCAGCACCGCAGCAGGACGCCCCCCGAACCCGAGAGGCTCCCCCGTGCGACGGGCTGCGGCGCTCCGCGGCCCCCTCCGCCGCACGCACCTCGGCACCGGTGGGCACTCCCTCCAGGGCGTCGACGAGGCCCAGGACGGGCCTCTGCGAGGGCCGCGGTGCTCCAGATCTCGTAATAGAAGGGAGGGGGTCTTGAAGCGGATGGTGGGCAGCCAGCCCGAAAGTATCGTTTAGGATCAGTGTAAGTTCCAGTGGTATATTTTTCGAATCCCGACCGCGAACAGAGTACTCCAGATCTCGTAATAAAAGGGAAGAGGTCTGGACCCTCCAAGACAAGCCAATTCAGACCCCCCCCGTGGGAGAACCCTCCAAAACATCGTCCCCAGACCCCCCCAGGCCCTCCAGGATAGCCGGGAAGGGACCCCCCCCGAAATGAGACCCCCCTCCCTTTTATTACGAAATCTGGAGTACCGAATCTGGCAGCAGCCCCTCTTGATGTGTTGCCGAGGACCCCGGGATCGGACGTCGTGGCAGGACGAGGCCGCCATGAGAACTCACAAACTCCCGGTCATGGCCTCGCAGATGGGAGTCCCGACAGAGGCGATCGCTGGCGCACCCAAGAGAACTGCAGCCTTCGGCCGAGGCGTTCGTCATCGCTTGGACGACGAAGATAAACGGGTCTCACGCAAGATAGCGTAGCGCCCTTACGCGGCAGCTTACGCGACCGCCAGCGCGGCACGCCACCGTGGAGACGAGGGCGCGCACGCGCGATCTTACGCTGGCAGCTTACGCGCGAATGTCCGTGCAATCGACCACGCTTTGTTTAGAGGCCTCCCAGATGGGGTCGGAGTAATTAGATGGGGTCGGCGGATCGGGCCGCATCGCCGATACATCGCCGTTGCATCAGTGACGCCAGCGTGGAGAAGATCGGGCTCCGCATTGAGCCGCATCACCGATGCATCGGCGATGCGACGCGATCCTCCGACCCCATCTACTCCGACCCCATTCGTTAAAGGCTTAACGACTTCTGCCGTCCTTCGACTCGCGCTGGAGCGGCCGCGAAGTGCTCGAACTTTCCCTGGAGATCTCTGGATTTACCTGGATTTACCCAGATTTATCTAGATGTACCTGGACTGACCTGGATTTACCTCGATTTATCTGCATTTACCTGGGTTTATCTGGCTCGATTCTCACAAGTCGATTGGCGAAAAGTCGACAAGCCCTTAGGGACCCATCTAGGAGGCCTAGATTGTTTCGTCGCTCATTTGTTCATTCCGGATGGATCTGTCAAAACCCCAGCCTGCAATGAGGTCCTCGGCTGGCTGTCCGCGGGGGACCTGGGGGCCCGAGGCTCGGAGCAGGGCGAGCTGAAACAGCGGCAGCTCGAGAGCGGTCCCGAGACCTCTCCCGGGGTCGAAACGCACCAGCTTTCTGACCTGCATCCCGCCGTGGCGACGAGGTGGTCCCCAGAAGGCCAACTGCAGTTGTCTCACCTGGCCCTCCTCTGAGAGAAGAGGGAGGAAGCGCCCCCGCCGCGAGATTCTGCCAAGACGCCCGACGCCAGGATCCTCCCAGCGGAGACCCGCTGAAAATCAAGCTCTGCAGAGACTCCCGAAGACCTCCAGGGACGGCCACGCCGACCTCGATCGTCGTCGTCGTCGAGGAAGCCCCTTCGAGCGGGGGGACGCGGCGCGGCTGGGAGCCCGCCCTGTCGCCTCCGCTGCCGCCGCCCAGGCCCCTGCCAAGAAGACGCCCGTCATCGCCAGGGGGTTATTAAAAGCAGATGCTTTCGAAATGTCAGTATCCAGCTGGGCCCGCCCCCTCCCAGACATCCCACGTCGTCATTCTTTCTCAGCGTGGCACCCCCACGGTCTGGACTCCCTCCGGAAAGACCGCTTTCCATCTAGAGTCATGTTCACGACGCGACGACGGCAAAGCTGATAAACCCCACCCTGGGCTACTGCTGACCGCGGCCACACGAAAGAGCGACCCTTGGCAAGAGTGGCTCCGGGTGCGAGGCTTTCGCGGGGCGCGGGATGCCCAAACCCAAGCGCGCAAGCCGCTGCTACTGATGGGCCTGTTTTCAACGACCACCACCATAAGTTGGATGGGGGATGGAGGAGGACGAGGAGGAGGACAAAGAGGAGGTGGAGGAGGAGGAGGTGGAGGAGGAGGAGGAGGACCCCCTCCCCCTCCAACATATGGTGGTGGTGGTGGAAAACAGGCCCATCAGCTACCGCATCTTGTTGGGCGATCGAGGGGCGCTGGGCCCGCGCACGGCGACGGGTCGCCAAGTTGTCCGCTCGTGGCCTGGCACTCTGGCGGCCGTGTGGGATGGTTCGGGCCCCCCCCGGACGCTCTCGGTGAGGCGCGGCTGCTGCAACGCTTTGGACGCCCGAAATGGGTACGGAAAGAATGGGCACTATGCCCAACAACCAATGTTGTCCCAAACCAACAGCGGCCGCTGTTGGGCGGGCGGCCTCCTGTCTCGAATGGACACAGGCCGCGGCGGCGTGGACAGCGGATCTGGTTCAAAATGAACAGGATCCGCTGTTGGGCATAGTGCCCATTCTTTCAGTACCCATTTCGGGCGTCCAGAAACGCAACCCGAAGCAAGCAGACCTCCAGGAGCCGGTGGAAACGTCCGAGAACGTCCGTCCGCACACCCAGAAGGCAGCTCCAGCGAAGGGCCACTCAATTGCATGCAGCCGCTATGCACCCGCGCCCCCCCTTTTTCGCTTGAGACGTCCCCTATCCCTAGCTCGAGAAGGCATCGTGGAACCCCTCGCTGCAGGTGCCCCCCCCATGGTCGTGGTGCCGCCTCGCCTTCCCCAGATCCTTGAGGTCCGACGTCGCGAAAAGTGAGACCTCGTAGAACACTACGGCCGGAGCTCTGGACCCTACCATCCGCGGCCGTTCTTCGGGCCGGATCGGCCTGTCAGGGTCCTGGGGCCTGACATGAGGCGCACACGCCCCACTCGAAGACATCGGGAGCGGCCAAGAGGGGGGTGTCCAAGAGGGGGGGGTGCAAATCATGACCGGCGGCATGTGCGCCGCCCAGCGGGGGGGCCAGGGACGCAATGAAAGAAGAAGAGGCGCCATGAAATCTGGGGAAAAATCATGGCCCCCGCCATGATAATTATCCACACCCCCCTGGTCATCACCCCCCTCTTTTCCGCCCCCGAAGACACTGCGACGCCGAGACCTCCGGGACGCGGGAAGCTGCGCAGCACCCGGCGGCCCGGCGCAGCGCTCGCTCGCTTGGCGCAGCTCGCGCCGCCTGCCGCCGCCGGCGTGGGCGCGGGAGCCGCGCTGGGCTGCGGGCCCGGCGGCCCCGGCGGCCCCGGCGGGCCAGGCGCAGTGGCCGGCGTCGGCGCGGGCGCGGAGGCCGCGGCCGCCTGGCGCGTCTGGGCGAACACAGGGGGCGGCCCAGAGATCACAGGCTCGCGAGGAGATCGAGGTCTGTTGTTGGCTCTCGGAGGCGCTGCTGCCCATCGGTGAGTGGCAACGGCAGGGAGGGACTGCCAGAAGGGGAGAAACATCGACCTGGAATCGGCGATACGGCGCCGATAGATCCGCGATAGGCCTCCGAGGTAGCGAATCCGCACCTTCCTGGGCAGGTTGGAGCTATCAGGCACCCATTGGCGATCAATGGGCGATGGGGTGTCGATGCGTACCCCCCTATGCGTATTCCCCACCCCCCGTCGTTGCCCCTGAATCGGGATACGTTCCAGCAGCCAGCTGCGCCTCGCCGGAAGCGCCCCGGGGTTGCCGGGGCCGCCGTCCGAGCGGCCGCCAGGAGCCGAGCCGTGACCGGAGAGCCAGGCACCCTCCTGGCATGACAGAGTCGCGGCGGCGCGACGTGTCTGGGCCCCTGGGCACTGGTGGGCATGCAACGGGCCCTGGGGCTATCAACAGAGAGACCTCCAAAGGAAAGAACAGGGAACATGAGAACGGCTGGCGGAGAGCCCAGCCCTGTGCATCTGCGAGTCCCGCAAGGCAGATGGAGCGAAGGAGGCGGCGAGCAAACTGCAAATAGCGTCGGATGCGGCCCTCTGCTCATAGGCAGCGCGCCACAGAAAGGGCGGGGCACGGGGCAGCGTGACAGAAAAGCGGGTCCTGTCACTGGGGCCTTCTCGGTGGAGCTCCCTGAAGGGACACGAAACGTGGGAGTTTGCCGAGATGAGTGAAGCGTTTGGCGTGCGGGCCCTCCCACTTGGGACCGCGGTGGAGCTCCCTACGGAGCCACGCATGCCGAAATGGGCGTGGCAATGGCATGCGGGCCCTCCCACTGGGGCCTTCGGCGGAGCCCCCCACGCAACCACGACACGTGTGAGGGGTGTGCCGAAATGGGCGCGGCGGTGCCATGCGGGCCCTCCGACTGGAGCCTTCAGTGGAGCTCACTACGGGCCACGAAACATGTGATGGCTTTGCCGACATGAGCATGGCGGTGGCATGCGGGCCATCCTATCGGGGCCTTCGCTGAAGCTCCCTCGGGGCCGCAAAACGTGCGAGGGGTGTGCCAACATCGGTGCGGCGGAGGCCGATGCCGATGCCGATGCCGATGCCGGAGCCGATGCCGATGCTAATGCTGCTGTTACTGCTGCTGCTGCTGCTGATGACGATGATGATGATGATGATGATGATGATGATGATGATGACGGTGATGAAGATGATGATGATGATGACGACGACGACGATGATGATGATGATGCTGATGATGATGATGACGATGTTGATGATGATCATGATGTTGATGGTGGTGATGATGATGACGATGATACTAATATTAATAATAATAATGATAATGATAATGATGATGATGATGATGATGATGATGATGATGATGATGATGATGATGCCGATGCCGGTGCCGATGCCGATGCTGATGCTGCTGTTACTGCTGCTGCTGATGACGATGATGATGATGACGGTAAAGATGGTGATGATGATGATGCTGATGATGCTGATGATGATGATCATGCTCATGAAGATGATGGTGATGGTGATGGTGATGGTGATGATGATGATGAAGATGAAGATGGAGACGATGATATTAATAATTATTCTAATAATAATAACAATAATAATAATAATAATAATGATGATGATGATGATGATGATGATGATGATGATGATGGAGAGAGCGTGATCCACCGCCGCTTTGCTTTGGAAACTTCCCCCCCTCTTTCTCCGGAAGCCGGGCCCCCCACCCCTCCCGAACCCCCCCCTGCTGGACCCCCCCCCCTTCCCCCCAGCAAAACCCCCCCCTCCCCTAAACCCCTCCCACCTCCCCCCCCCTTGGGAAAACCTAAGGGGGTCACTACCAGTTCGACCCCATCCCCCCCCCCCCCCCCTCTTCGGAAAACCGGGGGGGCCACTACCGGTTCGAACCCCTCACACACACCCTCCGGAAAACCAGGGTGGTCACTACCGGTTCGAACCCCCCCCCCCTCTCCAGAAAACCAGGGGTGGTCACTACCGGTTCGAACCTCCCCCCCCCTCCAGAAAACCGAAGGGGGGTAACTTTCGAACCCCCCTCCCTCGAAAACTGGAAGGGGTCAATTCCGGTTCGACCCCCCTCCCCCACTCAACGCCGGCAAACGACTCCCGGGTCCCCACCACCGTGCGCACCACATCCCCCACTGCTTTCCCCGGCACCACTGTCCTCACCACAAGTCCCCACTGTTCCCACCACCGTCCCCACTGTCCCCTCCAGTGCCCACACCACTGTCGTACTGTCCCCACTGTCCCCACCACTGTTCCCACCACGGTCCCACTCTCCCCGATTTCCCCACGGTCCCCACCACTGTCCCACTGTCCCCACTGTCCCACTGTCCCACTGTCCCACTGTCCCCGCCGCTGTCCCGCTGAGCTGTCCCACTGTTCCCACCACTGTCCCCACTGTCCCCACCACTGTTCCCACCACGGTCCCACTCTCCCCGATTTCCCCACGGTCCCCACCACTGTCCCACTGTCCCCACTGTCCCACTGTCCCACTGTCCCACTGTCCCCGCTGTCCCGCTGAGCTGTCCCACTGTTCCCACCACTGTCCCCACTGTCCCCACCACTGTTCCCACCACGGTCCCACTCTCCCCGATTTCCCCACGGTCCCCACCACTGTCCCACTGTCCCCACTGTCCCACTGTCCCACTGTCCCGCCGCTGTCCCGCTGAGCTGTCCCACTGTCCCCACCACTGTCCCCACTGTACCTCTGTCCCATTGTCCCACCACCGTCCTCGCCACCAGTGTCCCAACCACTGTCTTACTGTCCCCACCATTCCCATTGTCCTCACACCGTTGTCCCCACCACCACCGTCCCCACCACTGTCCCACTGTCCCCACAGTTCCCACCCTTATCCCCGCTGTCCCCACCAGTGCCCCCACCAGTGTCTTACTGTCCCGACTCTCCCCACCATTGTCCCACCACAGTCCCACTCTCCCAACTTTCCCCACGGTCCCCACCACTGTCCCACTGTCCCCAGTGTTCCCACCACTGTCCCACTGTCCCCACTGTCCCCGTCGCTGTCCCACTGTGCTGTCCCACTGTGCTGTCCCACTGTCCCCACTGTCCCCAGTCCCCACCACTCACCCCATTGCACAACTGTCCCACCACCGTCCTCGCCACCGCCTTTACCACTGTCCCCACCAATACCGTTCCTGCTGTCCCCTCACCACTGTCCCCACCACCACCGTCCCCACCATTGTCGCACCACTGTCCCACTGTTCCCCGCACCACTGTCCGGGGGGTTCGAACCGGTAGTGACCCCCTCCCAGTTTTCGAGGGGAGGGGAATGGACGGGTTGGGAACCCCCAGTGACCCCCCCCCGGTTTTCCGCCAGCAGCGGTCGAACACGTTCTTTCTGATGATGATGTGTATGATGATGATGATGATGATGATGATGATGATGATGATGATGATGATGATGATGATGATGATGATGATAACGACGACGACGACGACGACGACGACGATGACGACGATGATGGTGATGGTGATGGTGATGGTGATGGTGATGATGATGATGATGATGATGATGATGATGATGATGTTGCTGATGATCATGATGCTGATGGTGATGGTGATGATGATTGTGATGGTGATGATGATTGTGATGGTGATGGTGATGGTGATGGTGATGGTGATGGTGATGGTGATGGTGATGGTGATGGTGATGGTGATGATGATGGTGATGATGATGATGACGATGATGAAGATGATGATGAAGATGATGATGATGATGATGATGATGATGATGATGATGATGATGATGATGATGATGATGAGGGTAGGATGAGGATGACGCTGATGCGTTTGCGGCTGATCATGATGATGAAACTGATGCTGCTGCTGATCCCTTCAGATGCAGGCACCGAAGCTCCTTGCCAGCAGGGCTCGCAGCGCTGTCGAGCGCTTTGCGATCAGGCGGGCCCTGACGTCGACGGTTCTCTGAGCAGCTGAGCTCCAGCTCAGGCCATTATGGCTCAAGCCATATCGGCTCAAGGGGAGGATCGAGCGTCCCTTTCTTGATGTTAGCACTCAAGGTCCGCCCTGCTGCCATAGTTTGTTGGCCTCGTCACTGGTCTTGCCCAGCTTCTGTCGCTGTGGAGGCTGAAATGCTCGAGCAGCTCAAAACGCTGATGAAAAGCACGCAAGCACAGCAGCTGACAATCAAAGACCGCATCATGGCGACAGACGCGGCGGTGACACCGCTGAACGATTGGGCACCCAGCGTGAAAAAGTCGCTTGGGCAAATTGACATGAAGATCGTCGTCTTGATCTCTATTCCCAACATGGGCCCCGCGAAGTCCTGACCCTGTTCGCCAGGGCCAACTTTTGATAGTTCTTTTGTTTGACTGCCGCACGGGGCCCACCGAGTGCTCTCAAGAGGCTGGCAAGGGGCAGAAGCCTTCCGTCGATCGTGATTCTTGTCACGACGCGAGCATGTCTGGCGGAGGGAGCAGCCAGACAGCCTCCTGAGGCGTGCGAGCCTGCGGGAGGCCGCCCTGGCGGCTCGGGAAGTTGCTCTTCGGTATTTCGGGAATTCCTGCTCCATCACGCTTCTGATGAACAATTCCTCCATGCCGAACCCCCCGATGTGTCGGGAGGGCGGGCCGGGCGTTTCGCCTGAGACTTCCCCACCATTCATGATTTTCTGAAACTGAGGGTTGCTATCGGCTACAAAAATGGAGGGCGGATCTGTTCAAAACGTCGCTCTCGCCAAAGCGGCAAGCGCATTTTGCCCAAACGTTTGTAACAGCTTCAGGGATGAAGGGCGGGTTCCTTTCTAACATATGGTTCTCGCCTTAGCGCCGCGCACGTTCGTCATAAAACTGCGCAACCAATTCAACAATGGAGGGCGGCTCGTGTTCAAAAAACGGATTTCGCGCCAAGCACGGTCGCGCTAAAAGTTTGCACCGTTTGAAAGAATTGTATGGTTAGAGTCCCAGGAGTGGTGTCCTGGTGAAATTTAGGACGGCCTGTCCGCATTGGCCAGGTTGACTCGCGGACTTCCAGTCCCAAGATGCATATTCTGGCACGGTTTAGGATGGTCCGAACGCAATGATCACGATGATTCGCAGTGCCAACGTTTGGGCAACATGGAGAATTATCGCACGGTTGTTTTCCGATGGGACATTTCCCGCAATGGAGACAAACACTTGCAGGGACACGTGAACAGGGAACTTGGGGGGAAAGTTCAATGCAACATCGATAGTACTCTTTGGCTTCAAAACCGGCCCTACTCCTCCTTATCCTCCTCCTCTCCCCATCCTCCTCAAGTGGCTCTGGCCACGCCCATATCTCACGCCCGACCTGCCTGAGACCCCAATGTCAGGCCGCGCGCGCGGCCTGGCGCGCATGCGCTATCCCTTGGGATCCCCAGACTGGGTGGCTCTGATATTGTTATATTTCCAGCGTGGCTGATTGCGGGTGGCTCACCCGAAATAATCAGCCAAGGCTTGTAAGCACGCAACGCTCTCGGCTACCAGCTCGGCACGGGCGTCTCCGGAAGCTTCGGTCCAAAGCCTTTTCGGTACCTTCGGACAAATACAGCGCAAAGCCTCCTTGCAAAACGCCGCGTGACTCGTCTGCTTATGTCAGGCAAAGCACGGGCGCGCAGCGAAGAAGATGCTGGCGGCAACGGCTCCCCTGGGCTTGCATCGCGCCTCGGCGCGTGGTTTTGCGAGAAAATTCAATTCGAACGGAAGGCGCTGCGTGTTCAGGCGCGACTGAAGCGGCCAACCAGACCCGAGTGGGTCGACGCCACAAGGGCCATCCCCGCGGCCACGCACAAGCTTCCAGACCAGGACTTCTCGCAGGGAAAGGGACTCATCCTAAGGCCCCTCAGATAAAGACGTCGATTATGTCGGTCGCGCCAGAGCCCCGGGCCACCCTTGCGGCTCGGACTTGACGACATCAGCGAACTCATCACAGCGGCGAAACGCGCGTTGGCGAGGTGCGAGGAGCCGGAACGAGCGCCACGGATGCCAGATGACACGTTGCAAACGACGCTCGGCAGGCAGGCCACGAAGACTAAAGAAGTCACTGCCTCTCAGACGCAGGTCGACAGCCCTCGCGGGAAGCTCAACCAAGGCAGGCGAGCTCACAACTGCAGAGGCCGAGGTTGAAGGCGTAGATTTGGAGGCGTCGACAGCCGGGGCGGCGGCGCTTGACCAAGAGCTGCCAGCAGGCATGGCGAAGGTTTCGCGATCGAGGAGGCCCTTGGACGACCGCACGCCTTAGTCGCAGTAGCACCATCCGCGGTCAATGCGAGAAACGCGCAGAAGCATGGGGCCCGCGGTCCAGCAGCTCAGCCAGCTCTATCTACCCCAGGCTTCGTTCCCCCACGGGGCGGAGCCATGCGCCTATGAGGTTTCGCCGCGGCCGTGGGCGGGCAGCACTGGCCAGGTAAACAGTAACAGTCTCTGACCATGCCGCCGTCTCGGCACGGCGCGATTCGCAGTTGCGACGCTTCAGCGGCGCGCGGCGAGCGCGCATCTGACTCGCGACGCCAGGCCACTGGGGCGGAGGTCGGGCAGCGTGCTTTGAATATTTCCAACGCGGGCGGGGGCGCCCAAAAGCCTGGCGCGGCCGGGCCCGGCGTCGCCGCCGCTCTGCCCCGATCCGAAACTTCGGGAGAAAGTCGCGCGGCGCCTAGCTCCGCCAGGCTCGGCGTCGCCAAAACCATGCCAGGGCCCGCGCGCCGCCGGAGGAATGACTGCGCCAAAGCCGGCAACGCGGGCAGCGGCAATCCTCCGACGAATCACGCCCTGCCCGAACCTTGCCGCAGGGCGGGCAGCACGCGGCGCCTCGGCGACGTTTCGACGGGCGCCCGCGAGCCGCGGCACCCGCCAACCCCTCCCCCGCCAAGCGGGGGGGCACCTCCCCGGGCACAGGAGGCGGCGAGCGGCCCCGGGGGCCGAGGGCCGAGCGGCCGCGGCCGCGGCCACTCAGGCGAGAGCTCCTGCGCGAGCTTTGGACGCCCGACATGGGTACCGAAAAAATGGGTACACCCTGCGAAATGCTTTAGAAATCATGGGTTTAAGAAATTCATAGTCTCAGAACTTGAATAAAAACCCAGAATTTCTATCAAAATCTTAGGATCTACATCGAAACGGTAAGAATAATCGACACTCTGGCCGAAACCTTACGTTTTCTTAAGCAACGCCTAGGGTGTACGATGCCCAACAGCAAATGTTGTCCCAAACCAACAGCGGCCGCTGTTGGGCAGGCGGCCTTCTGTCTCAGATGTACACAGGCCGCGGCGGCGCGGACAGCGAGTCCTGTTCAAAATGAACAGGCACTGCTGTTGAGCATGGTACCCATCCTTTCCGTGCCCATCTCGTTCGTGCAGGCGAGCGAGAAATATACCCAGTGCGCCCCTTGCTGCGGGGCGGGGCCGGTGGCCCAAGAACTGCGACGGGCTCGAGGGCAGGGGGCGTCGTCGCACCCGTGCACGAAAATGAGGGACCCATGCTCGCCCCCTCATCCCCCGCGCGCACTTCATCCAGGAGGCGCGCAGCAGGCGATGCCCTGACGACGTCGCCACGGGCCTCGTCGGAGACCACCGGGGACCTTGAAACTACGAGCGGCGCCGACCCCGCGCAGGCTGCAGGGTTCACGCCCATCAGGGTCGGCGCCGACCGAGGTGGCCAATACCCTGAAGGCACGGCGGAAGCCGCTGCGCCGCGGGGGAAAAGCTGGGTGCAAGCGGGGCGCCCCTGCAAGAGCCGCGCAGGCAGCGCGACCGCCTCGAGCTCGCCGATGACGACATGCCCCGTTGCGGAGTCGAGGGGTCGAGGTGCACGACGCCCCGTCCGAGGTCAAGCGCGCATTGCCCCGCTGTCAGGACCGCCTCAGCTTGGCAAAGAAGGGCGTTGAAACATGCCAGCACGACTGTCGCCATCGCCGCGTCTCCCTCGGATCGGGCACGTCCGAGGCCTGCTCAGGCAACGGGGGCCTGGCCCCGACCGAGTGCCAAAACCACGCGCCGTTGAAGCCGTTGCGCAAGCCCGGAAAGGAATGCCACAGAACTCGCAGCCGGTCTCCCACATAGGCCTCAGGCTCTGCAGCAGCCCAGCAGTCTGAAAGGCATCCCACGAGGGTTTCATCGGCCGCTGGGGCGGAGGCCTGCACGGGCTCGCCGAGCTGCCGTGGCCATTTTGACAAAAAATGTATTCGTAGCATCAAGATACCGCGCGACAGCCTGCGGCTGCAGTTGCCGCGATCTCAGGGCCCCGACTTTCTCGCGATCTCTCCTTCTCTGCTGCCTCGCCCCGTCCACGAGCACTATCGCGGCCGCCGCGCGCTCGGGTCGTCTGCCGGATTGAGCCCCGACCTGACAGAGACCCAGAAAGCGCGGCCGGGAGAGGCAAGCAGGAGCGCGTTCAAGCGCGTGAGAAAATATTGAAGCGAATGGGAAGTCTCTCTGCCCGCACAGGCGGCTGCAATACACAAACGAGTATCGCGCGGATGAGCCTCGCTCCGACGTTCGAGTGGGCCCACATCCACCAAAGGACGGCGACCACGAGGGCGTTGCGCTCGAGCGTGTCGTGTCGTGCCCCGCTCTTCGGGAAGCTCAAGGCGGTCCTCCGAAGCCAGCGGCGGGTTTCGATGCCCCTCCCCGGCCGGCCCGAGGAGTTGCGCACCGCGCCTGCCGCAACACGCGCTTCGCCTCTGTGGAACGCGGCGGGGCGCCCAGGCTGAGCGGCCCAGGCGGCCGCGCCGAGCAGCTCCGTCCGACGCCCCCGGGGCCCTCCCGGCACGCGGCGATCGCGGTGCCTCGGCCAACAGGCCCGGCGACGCCAGCCCGCGCCCCACCCAGCAAACGACCGCCGGAACGGAGGAGGCGCTGCCCAGCAGCGAGCACCAGGTGTCTACGTGCACGCGCTTCTTCGCGTGACTCGGGCTTCCGAATTGCCCGGCTGAAATGGCCCCGCGGAAGCCCGAGGCGGCAGGGGCGTTCGCGGGTCTAAGCCCCTGGAGGCAGGGAAGAAGACCCGAGGATTGTGTTTTTCTCATGTTTTGTTAGCTTGCCTTTTAACGCCTCCTGGGGTGCCCACGTGACAACAGCAATATTCCCCTCCAAGCTTTGGTAAGAAAAGGCCAGAGGGAACCGATGGGGGAAAAAAGGGGGGCGGGAGGAAGGACGAAACCGAGGACCCCGCGAAATCCCCCAGACCTAATTAGTAGCACGGCAAGCACCCCTGAAACACACATCCGCACACTCGCCGCTCCTTGTTTCTCCTCATGCTCCTTCTCCACCGTTTCCATCCATGTCGCCCTCGTCCTTTTCCTGGAGGAGGAAGAGGACGCAGAGGTTACACGGCTTCCAGAAGGGAGCGAAATCACCAAAGCCTCGCTCTTGTTGAGTTTCACGATGGTCGAGCCAGCCGGGAACGCGTTCACCTGATGCCACGGAAACGATCCGATTCAACACTGGCCCGGTGCTGCACACATGATGTCATGCTCGTCATCCTCGTCTGTCTCCGCAACATGCTCGTCCTCCACATGCGCTACCCTTTCCCTTCCTCCGCTCGAAGTCCCTCGCCTCCGTTCTTCCGTCCTGATCCACCTCCCTCTCGCGCCACATCCTTCCCCTTTCGTGGTGTGTCTACTTTTCACTACGACCACTATACACCAGGAGCTGGCGACGGAGCGCACCGCCTCTTTGAGGGTGCGGAACCCGCCGATAATCCACGCGCCAAGCAATGCTTGCACATACGAATTGCCTCACTTGGTTTCAAAAAGAACTGGATGTGGTGCGTCGCCACGGCCAGCATGTACCGTCCGTCGCAGTGCGTCGGCCCAGCCAGCAAGTAGCCGCCCGTCGCCGCACGTCGCCGCCGCCGCATTATGGTCGCAAGGTTTGTTGCGCTCACACCGCGGAACGAATGCACCACATCGACTGCACCAGGTTGAATGTACCACATAGACTGCGCCACGTAGCTCGCACCCCATAGATTGCACCCCACAGTTTGCACCACATAGCTTGCACCACACCGATCGCACACCATACCTTACACCACACATATACATATATATATATGTGTGTGTTTGATGCACACGAACTCCTATACGACGAGTATCTGCTTCTTACGTTCTAAAAGGTTATCGGGATGTAATGAAAAACAAAAGAAAAAAGAAAAAAACATAAAACAAAAACAGACTAACCATAGTGTGGTGTTCTGTTTTGTCTGGTTCTGCGCGGCTGAACCAGAAAAACCAGAACAACCAGAATCTGATGATTCTGGTTATTCTGGTGATTCTGGTTTTCCCGATAAATGGGTGGACTGGGTGGGGGGGGACGCATGCGGGCTGTAGCACTGGGGCCGTCAGTGGAGCTCCGTATTGGGTCACGAAACGCTGTACTGGGTGGGGGGGGCGCACGCGGGCGGTCCCACTGGGGGCTTCGGTGGAGCTCCGTGTGGGGCCACAAAACGCTGTACTGGGTGGGGGGGGCGCATGCGGGCGGTAGACCTGGAACCTTCGGTGGAACTCCCTATGGGGCCCCGAACCGCTGTACTGGGTGGGGGGGGCGCATGCGGGCGGTAGCACTGGGACCTTCGGTGGAGCTCTCTATGGGGCCACGAAACGTGTGAGGGGTGTGCCGAAATGGGTGTGGGGGACGCATGTGGGCGGTGGCACTGGAGGTTTCGGTGGAGCTCCCTATCGGGCCACGAAGCATGTGAGGTGTGTGCCAAATTGGGTCAAGACTGCCTCAAGAAGGCCCCAAGACTGCCCAAGAGGCCCCCAAGAAGCCCCAGATGGCCGCCAAGACTGCCAAGAAGACCTCCAAGATGCCTCCAAGACGGCCAAGAATGCCTCCAAGACGGCCAAGATGACTCAAAGATGCACCCAAGACGGCACAAGATGGCCTAAAGATGGCCTACGACTGCCCAAAAGGCCAGCAAGAGGCCTCCACAACTGCCCCCAAGAGCCCTCCAAGACGTTCTCCAGGAAGGCCCGACATGGTTAAACTGATTGATGTTCCTTACGTGTTTGAAGGATGCTGGCGTTTGCTCCTGTTCAGCTCCGACGGCCCAAGACGGCCCAAGCGGCCCGCAACATCGACCCAAGAGCGCCCAAGAGGCCTCCAAGATGGCCCCATGACAGGCCGAGAAGCCCCCAAAGCGGCCCCAAGGAGGCTCCAATACGGCCCAAGAAGCAAGACGCCCAAGATGGCCTCCAAGACGGCCAAGATGGTCTCCAAGATGCCTCCAAGACGCCCAATATGGCAGCCAAGACGGGTAAAATGGCCCGAAAAAACACCCAAAACGGCCCAAGATTGCCTCAAGACGGCCTAAGACGGCCCTATAGGCCCGCAAGAGTTCTCCAAGACGGCCCAAGAGCTCTCCAAGAAGTCCCCCAGGAAGGCCCGACAGGGCCCAAATCCTTGATGTTCCCATGGTGTCTGAAGGATGTGGGCATCTTCGTCTGTTCAGCTCTCCGACGGCCCAAGACGGCCCGAGAGACCTCCAACATCCTCGCAAGAGCACCCAAGAGGCCTCCAAGATGGCCCCGTGACAGCCCAGGATGCCCCCAAGAGGGCCCCAACAAGACGCCAAGACGGCCCAAGATGGCCCCCAAGATGCCTCCAAGACGGCCAAGAAGGTCTCCACGGCGGCGAACATGGCCCCAAGATGCACCCAAGACGGCCCCAGATGGCCTGAAGATTGCCTTAGACTGCTCAAAATGCCAGCCAGAGACCTCCAAGACAGTCCAAGACCCTTCCAAGACGTGTTCCAGGAGGCCCGAAAGCTCGGAAACCACCTTGTCCGATAGCTCGCCCGACTCCGTGTCCCCCGAAGGCGTTCGAAACCCACTCGGGGAACGCGTGGCCCGATAGCTTGGCCAAACTCAAACCCAACTTTCGGTCAAGCAGGCGCTTACAAAAAAAGCAGGGGCGGCGGTGATTTGCCGTAGGCGTCTTCGATCCGCCGCCCTCTGTTGGTTTGCCACAGAAATTGCTAAAGAACTCTCCCCTGGGGCGTCGGCCCGTCCCGCGGGCCACCCAAAAGAAATGGTTGCACCCGTTTTCCCTGTCCAAATGACTCCAAGATGGCACAAGACGGCCTCCAAGACGGCCAAGATGGCCTCCAAATTCGCCCAAGATGGTCCAAGATGGCTTCGAAGACGGCCCAAGAGAGTCCAACATGCCTCCAACTTCGCTCAAGAAGGCTCCAAGACGGCCCAAGACGGCCTCAAGATGACGGCAGACGGCCCAAGAAGTCCCCACAAGGCATTCCAAGACGGCCCAAGAGGCCTCCAAGACGGTCCGAAGAGACAAAATCATTGACTTGCCTCAGGTTGTTGAAGGATTTGGGGATTTGCTCATTTTCGGCCTCCCGACGGCTCGGGGCGGCCCAAGCGGCCCCCAAAGATCGCCCCAAGATCGCCCAAGAGGCCTCCAGGATGGCCCCCGAACGGCCCAAGAGACCCCCAAGACGGCCCCAAGAGTGTCCCAAGACGGCCTCAGAGGCCGCCAAGACGCCCCAGATGGCCTCCAAGACGGCTCTAGAGCACCACAAGAGGGCACCAAATCGGCCAGAGAGGCCCCCAAGACGGCCCTCGACGGCGCCACACGGGCCAGGAGCCCACCAAGACGGCCTCAAATGGCTCCAAGATGACCCAAGAGCCCAAGAGCCCAAGAGGCCCCGAACAGGTCTCCAAGACGGCAGGCACCAGAGGCCTCCAAGAGGACATCCAGGAAGGCCCGAAGAGGCCACAATCATTGATGTTCCTTCTGTATTTCGAGGACTTTGGCAGTTGCTTATTGTGGGCCTTCCGACGGCCCGGGGCGGCCCAAGCGGCCCCCAAAGATCGCCCCAAGATCGCCCAAGAGGCCTCCAGGATGGCCCCCGAACGGCCCAAGAGACCCCCAAGACGGCCCCAAGAGCGTCCCAAGACGGCCTCAGAGGCCGCCAAGACGCCCCAGATGGCCTCCAAGACGGCTCTAGAGCACCCCAAGAGGGCACCAAATCGGCCCAGAGAAGCCCCCAAGACGGCTTCTGACGGCGTCACACGGGCTAGGAATGCTCTCAGACGGCCAAAGAGGCCCTCGAGGAGGCCCAAAAGGCCCCCAAGAGGCCCAAGGAGGCTCCCAAGATGCCTCCAAGAGGCTCCCAGGAAGCTCTCAGGAGGCACCAGAGGCTCCCAAGATGTCCCCTCCTCCTCGGTTTCCTCCTCCTCCTCCTCCTCCTGATCTTCCCCGCCATCCTCCCCCAAGTCTCCCCCGAAGGGTTTCCACAATAGTTGGGGGAACCCATTGTCCGATAGCTTGGCTGACCTCTTGCAACAATGCTCGGCCACATGGGCGTGTCAAAAAGGCAGGGGGGCGGCTGGGACTCGCCGTAGGCGGTTTCGAAACAAAAACTAACTCCACGGAAAAGGTCGACCAAACTTGGGCAACCGATTGGTCCAGGATGGGCCCGGTCCAGGTTGGGCCTTGTTTGGCGTCCTCTGCGCGCGTTCTGGGCAAATCCTGTGACTGACGACCTGGGGTGACTCCTGTGCCCAGAAGATCCTGAACAAAGAATACACTAGGCAAGAACTGATCCAGGACAACAATGGAGATGTGCCATTTGGTTGGAGCCTGGCGCACAAGCGGGAGGCGGGAATGAGCCCGGCCACGCCCTGCTCTGATCTTCCGGGGGCTCCGACTCATGGTGTGGAAAAAACGCGACTTCGGAGAACCGGGGTGGCTGACCCGCTCTGCCTCACACTCCGGCACACCGGAGCGCACCGAACCTGGAGATCCATCCCCCGTGGCTTCTCCACGCCTCTCCCCCCTCCGCACCGCCCCACGCCGGAGGAGAAGGATCGAGGAGCCATTGGGGCAGATCGAAGAAGAGGATCCGGCAGAGGGAGCATCAATTCTCCGCACCCCAATCCCCGCGCGGTGAATGGGACGATGACAGGGGGGGAAGGAGGGTTTGGGGCCTGGGGGGAGGGGACGGGAGAGAGGGTCGTGGGGTCCTAGGAGATCCGATGGGTGGGGGGGGGTTCTAGAGTTCCAGACGGAATGGAGAAGAGAGTGAAGAGGAGGAGGAGGAGGAGGAGGAGGAGGAGGAGAAAAGCTCGTCGTCGTCGATGAACGTCGCGACAGGCGATGCGCCTTCCTCGAATAACAGAGAACAAGGGCGATTCAGCGAAGCAAGGAGCGCTGTAGGAGGAGGAGAAGGAGGAGGAAGAGGACGAGGAGGAGGAGGAGGAGGAGGAGGAGGAGGAGGGGAGAGGGAGGACAGCAGATTGAGGAGAGAGGAGGGAAGAGGCGGAGGAGGAGGAAGGCGGAGGAGGAGGAAGGCGGAGAAAGGTGGAGGAGGAGGGAGGGGAGGGAGTGAGGGGAGGGGGGGGAGGGAGGAGGAGCAGGAGGAGGAGGAGACGACAGAAGAGAGGCAGGAGACACAGGAGAGAGAGTAAAGGGAAGAGGAGCTAGGATAAGGTGCATAATATAAGCAGCAGAGCAATGACTGACGCCCTGGCCCCAACTTGCGATCCCGGGGCCCCGAGATCGAGGAGGAGCAGAAGAACACTACTGATCGTGTTCTTGGCATTTGTGCCATCTCTGTAGCGAGTCCGTTCCACGAAACAGTACCACGACACCCCTGCTCATTTCAGCAGAACGTTCGGACACGTTCCTGTGCCGGCGTCTGCCTGCTACACAAAAACTGCCCACGCAACTGCCTAAACGCCAAAAACATTCTCCAAGACCGCCACAACCAAGAGCTTCTTGTGACAACTCTGCTGCATCCAAGAGCCACACTGGTCCAAGTAGCGCGACTCGGTCAGGAATACACACTGGGCTTGTTTGCAGCTGATCGAGCGGCTGTACGGCCCCTTACACTCGTCTTCAACCTGCTCAACATCCGTCGTCCAGTTGATCTCCGAAACAACATCCTCGCACACCATGTCAAGGTAGGGCTCGCACGCCTCGTCAAGGTAGCTCTCTTTCTCCTTGTATTGGAGGTGGATTTCGACTTCGACGGCCCTAGAAAAAGGGAGGGGCGGAAAATGCTCCGTGCCATTGACCCTGAGGACGGCGCGAGCACCAGCGTGCCAGCGCGGCGAAAGAGGCCTCTGACGAAGCGGGCACCCGAGCAGGTCTTTCACCTTCTGACCGTAGTCGTGGAACTTGAACTTCTTCCACAGGCTCTCCAAATGTCGATACACAGAAAACCTGGTGAAAAAGTCGATGATCGACACGCAGAGTACACGGCAGCCCGTCGGGTCTTCCTCGAAGCACGACCGCGCCTCCAGGCAGTGTGCGCCGCGCACGTCGACCCTCCGGCCGGGCGCGTAGATCTCAAACAGCAGCGAATAGTCGATGAAAGGGCGCTCGTCGGAGCCCTCCCGAGATAGAAAGTCCACGTCGCCGCCAACCGTGGCCTTCAGTTCCACCCACTGTGCCTGCATCTCGGCGATTGCTGGCGCCGCCGCCGGGTTCATCCCGAGCACGGCAAGCTGCCGCAGGAAGCCTTGCCGCGCCTTGCTCTTCGCCCAGATGGGCTTCACGTCGTAGTACTGGGCCGTGCCCAGCGGCTCGAGATCTTGAGCCGACCGCGACACTGCAAAGCCTCGCATTCTCGCGCTCGCCGGCATGACGATCCAGTGGCGGTGACCGTGCACGAATGCCAGCACGGGCACGTTCAGGGAGGTTCGGTTGAGCGCTGCTTCCGCCCAACATGAATCCAAGGAGCCAGGCCGACAGACAGCGTGTGGGAGGCCGGCATGGCGCGCCAAGGGGCCTATGACATGGCGGGCAAACTCCTGATACTCAGACTCCCTGACGGTTTTCCCAAGGAAGAGCCCATCGCCCGAGACGACAAACAACGCGCCCGAGCGTGATGCATCATCGTCCTCCCTGAGCATGGCGCTCTCGAAGGACCTCGCCACCTCGGCGAGCACCTGCTTCGCGAGGGCTGGATTCACCACGAACGGAGACATGGCGCCGGACCTTGCATCCATAAACTCACCGTGGAGTCTGTGTGGACCCCGGGTCCCCCCGCCACTCAACAGCTCAGAGGTGGAGAGACTCCCCGCCATGGATTGAATAAGCATAGCGACGTGGCGGGCAATTTCCGTGGCAGTAGCACCGTCGAACATACGCCACCGTGCCCTCGGGCACGTGTTGAAGTGTCCTCAGGTCCCGTGCTCGATCCCTTGAGCCTCAGTCCTCAGTCCTGAGGAGTCTTTGCCAGGACCCCACACTCTCAACTCTCATGGGGCTTGGCGCGGTTGCACTCGGCTCCCCCGAGTGGTGGCACATGACTTGTTCAGGGCCAAGGGGGGCCGAAGACGGGCCAAGAA